GCTAATCATCAGAGATGCAAATTAAAACGACAAGATATCACCTCACACCTGTCAGAATGGCTCCATCAACAAATCATCAAATGACGAGTGCTGGGGAGGGTTTGGGGAATGGGGAGCCCTAGTGCCCTGCTGGTGGGAATGCAGACTGGGGCAGCCACTGTGGAAAACAGGATGGAGTTTCCTCAAAAAATTAAAAATGGAACTGCCATTTGACCCAGTGATCCCACTTCTAGAAATATATCTTGAGACCTAAAACACCAATCAGAAAAAAGTTATGCACCCCTATGTTCATAGCAGCATTATTTACAATAGCCAAGATCTAGAAACAGCCCAGGTGCCCATCAGTAGATGAGTGGATGAAGAAGCTGTGGGACATTTACACCGTGGAATACTATGCAGCTGTGAAAAGAAGGATCTCGTACCCTTTGGGACAGCATGGAGGGACCTGGAGAGTATTATGCTAAGAGAAATAAGCCAGGCAGAGGAAGACAGGTATCACATGACCTCACTCATATGTGGAATATACNATTAAGATACTTAGGAATAAACTTAATCAAGGAGGTAAAAGACCTGTACCCGGAAAACTACAGGACATTGAAAAAAGAGATAGAGGAAGATATAAACAAGTGGAAGAATATGCCATGTTCATGGATTGGAAGAATTAACATAATTAAAATGCCCGTAATACCCAAAGCAACCTATAAATTCAATACAATCCCCCCCAAAATACCAGTGGCATATTTCACAGATCTAGAACAAACACTTCAAAAATTCATGTGGAACTAAAGAAGCCCCCAAACAGCCACAGCCATCTTGAGAAAGAAGAACAGAGTTGGAGGGATCACAATACCAAATGTCAAGTTATACTACAAAGTCATTAGTGATCAAAACAGCCTGGTACTGGCACAAGAACAGGCATACAGATCAATGGAACAGAACAGAGAACCCAGAAATTGACCCAAGTCTTTATGCTCAATTAATATTTGACAAAGGAGGCAAGAGCACACAGTGGAATAAGGACAGTTTCTTCAATAATGGTGCTGGGAAAATTGGACAGGTACATGCAAAAACAAATGAAGGTAGGCCATCAACTCACACCCTACACAAGAATAAACTCAAAATGGATAAAACATTTAAATGTAAGTCAGGAAACCATAAAAATCTTAGAAGAAAGATGTCATCTCAGACATCTTTCGTAGCAGTGTTTGCAGATACATCTCCTCGGGCAAGGAAAACAAAGGAGGAAATAAACAAGTGGGGCTACATCAAAATAAGCTTCTGCACAGTGAAAGAAACCATCAACAAAATGAAAAGTGAGCCCACTGTATGGAGAACTTATTTGCCAATAGCATATCTGATAAGGGGCTAATTTCAAAAAGATACAAGGAACTCATACAACTTAACAAAAGGAAGACAAACAATCCAATTAAAAAATGGGCAAAGGACCTAAACAGACACTTCTCCAAAGAGGACATACGGATGGTCAAGAGACATATGAAAAAAATGCTCAATGATGCTAATCATCAGAGATGCAAATTAAAACGACAAGATATCACCTCACACCTGTCAGAATGGCTCCATCAACAAATCATCAAATGACGAGTGCTGGGGAGGGTTTGGGGAATGGGGAGCCCTAGTGCCCTGCTGGTGGGAATGCAGACTGGGGCAGCCACTGTGGAAAACAGGATGGAGTTTCCTCAAAAAATTAAAAATGGAACTGCCATTTGACCCAGTGATCCCACTTCTAGAAATATATCTTGAGACCTAAAACACCAATCAGAAAAAAGTTATGCACCCCTATGTTCATAGCAGCATTATTTACAATAGCCAAGATCTAGAAACAGCCCAGGTGCCCATCAGTAGATGAGTGGATGAAGAAGCTGTGGGACATTTACACCGTGGAATACTATGCAGCTGTGAAAAGAAGGATCTCGTACCCTTTGGGACAGCATGGGGGGACCTGGAGAGTATTATGCTAAGAGAAATAAGCCAGGCAGAGAAAGACAGGTATCACATGACCTCACTCATATGTGGAATATAATGAACAAAATAAACTGATGAAGAAAACAGATCCAGAGACATAGAAGCCTGGAACAGACTGAGGGTCTCAGAGGGAAGGTGGTGTGGACTGGGGAGGGGGGATGAATGAAAGAACTTATATGCTTATTTGCATGACCTATGGATACAGACAAAAGTGTAGAGAAAGCCTTGGGGGTTGGGGGTGGATGCTGGGTGGAGGTGATCACTGGGGGGAAAAAGGACAATAAAGATAAATTAAAAAAAAATAAAGCTACCATATGATCCAGCAAAAAACCCCCAAAACTTACCAGACTGGCAAAAGTCCAAAAGACAGATCAGAGGCTCTGCTGTGGTCAGTGCGGGGAAACACATGCTCTCAAACACCGATGGTGTAGTCCACATATGGAGAGCAATTTGGCAAGATCCAGAAAACTGTGTGTAGCATACTACCTCTTGTTTGATAAAGTGGAAAATAGATCTTTATAGTGGACGGTTCTGACATAGGAACCGCTGCATGATGAAAGTGGTTGCTTTTTGTGTGTGTGGGTTTGGGAGGGAACGAGGCAAAGCTGGGTAGGAGAGGAAATGAGCCCTTCCTATGCTGTTTTATTTATGGTCCATTTGAATAAATACCTTCTTTTCTCAGATAGCACATATTACTATATGTTTTAATCTTCTTTTAGTATTGTTTTCACTTACTTAAATATGTTCTAATTGCTAAAAATTACAATTCCGTCCTTGCCATCTCCTTAAACTGGGCGCGTCACTCTTTCCTCCTCAGGGCTGGCAGCGGCCTTCTGAGGCGGGCCCCACCCGCTCCCCCACCCTCACCTGTCTCCTTGGCCATGCACCGCACTCAGGTTTCAGCAACGTCCAGGGGCACTCCTCAGGTCTGTCTTGTCTGACAGCTTTGCTTCATTTTCTTATTGAAATTCTCTCTTTATGTGGATTGTGTGATAAAACTTTATCTAGAGTCTCCTAACTCCCCAATTCTCCCCTATTTCTTTTCCAGTCATTTTCTGTCTCCATACTTAGGAACAGTGCGTATCTTTCTTCTCATTAATATAACGCTCCCACTAGATTATCTCATCTATTTCTACAGTTTAAATCTCACTTGTACTTTGTGGAATCCCAAATTCATATCCCTCTCTCAATACACTAGCACGGGTTCCAGCTACTTATCGGCTACCCTCCCTCTGGACGTGTCACAGACACCTTAAACTCAACCTGTGCTCCTCCCCACACCCGGCTCCTGGGCTGCTGTCCTGCTGAGGGAGCTTACCACCCATGCACTGGCCCAGACAGAAGTCTGGGCACCCTTAGGTTCCCTTCCTTTCCTCATAACCCACATCCAAATGGAGCCTGCACCCTGTGAATTTTGCTTTCTTAATATCTTTCACAATTAGTTTTTCTAGTCATTGTTTTATATCAAACTCTATTTAGGTTAAGTGAAATAACTGCACTTCCTGTTTCTAGTTTGACCCATTTGCAGTATTTATACTTTGTTTCAGCCAGAAAGAACACTTGCCTTTTCCCAATCTCACTATGTTGTCATGACTATCACTGTCCCCCGAGTATGTTATTTTTGAGTAAAGAATCTCTGTCTCTCTCTTGTTCTGTCTCTATCTCCCTGTCTCTATTGCTCTCTCTAACTCTATCCTATCTATCTAACATCTATCTATCATCTATCTATCTATC